TCGCAAGCTCATCAATAGGAGAGCACACTCAGCATGTTCAGACCCTCTTTGAACGTTTCAAAAAACATGGCGTTGTTATCAATCCTTCTAAATGTATATTCGCCGTCCCAGCCTTCGAGTTTTTAGGACATTACATTGACTCTCAAGGCATCAAACCACTCCCAACAAAAGTTGAAGCTATTAGCAATTACGCTGAACGAACCTCTATAAAGTCATTACGCCGTTTTCTCGGGACGTGCAATTTCTACCGCCGATTCCTACCACGATGTGTGGATGTGTCACAACCGTTAACTGATTTACTGAAAAGTGACAAAAAAGGTACGGGGATGGAAAAGAATCAAACATTCAAGCTACCTCCCGATGCCGAAATTGCGTTTGAAAACGCAAAGTGCCTAATAGCCAACGCTACCATGTTACAACACCTCAATATCGACCCCACCACCCATTTGATCCTATGTACGGATGCCTCACAGAAAGCTGTCGGGGCTGTATTGCAACGACACGTAAATAACATGACTACTCCCGTAGCGTTTTATTCCAAGAGACTGTCACCAGCCCAGGAACGCTATAGTACTTTTGGACGAGAGTTACTTGCTATCTACTTAGCCGTTAAAGACTTTAACTTCTTACTACAAGGACGAACTTTCACCATCATGACCGATCACAAACCTTTATGTTACTCATTCAACACCGTACGACCGACACTCACCTCGAGAAGCACGACAACTGGATTACATCTCCCAGTTTACGAGAGATATTCAATTTGTCAAAGGACACACCAACGTCTTAGCTGAAGCATTGTCGCGAAAGGACGTAAATACCCTGGTACGTAAACAAGACATCGATCTAGAAACAATCGCAAAACTACAAGTAGACGATGCAGGTTTTGAAGGCCTGCAAAGAGAAGTCTAACTTGAATCTTAAACCTGTACCCATTCCTTTCTCAGATGCATCTATTATTTGCGACACTTCAACGGGTAATAATCACCCCTTTGTGCCACAACCCTGTCGACGAAAAAATATTTCAACAGCTACATGGACTATCGCATCCAGGCATCAGAGCTACCACGAAGCTTATCACAGAACGCTTTGTTTGGCCAAAAATCAATTCGGATGTTAAACGTTGAACACGTGGCTGCTTACAGTGCCAACGCAGCAAAACCCAAAAACACACTATCAGCACAATCGGGGAATTCCTATTCCGGACAAACATCTTCAACATATTCATTTGGACTTAGTTGGGCCACTGCCTCCGTCCAATTCCTTCACCCACATTCTCACCGCAGTAGACAGGTTTTCTAGATGGGCCATAGCCTGCCCCATAAAAGACACTTCGGCAGAGACAGTGGCTTCAGTTTTCCTCGACCGCTGGATATCCAACTATGGAGTACCATCAACAATCACAACAGATCGCGGTCCCCAATTCCAGTCCGTCCTATTTCACGAGTTCACTAAGCTTCTTGGAGTAAATCATGTCAAAACGACAGCTTATCATCCGGCAGCTAATGGCATGGTCGAAAGATTCCATCGCCAGCTAAAAAGCTCTCCGATGGCACAACCGGACTCTTAAAAATGGAGCGATGCTTTACCGCTCGTTCTCCTTGGGATTCGCTCGTCAGTAAAGGAAGACATTGGATGCATGGCAGCTGAACTAGTCTATGGCACGACATTAACGTTACCAGGACAACTAGTCAAGAATGAACTCACAACGCCAGGAGACTTTTCTCGTTTTGTAAGCAGATTACTACAAATGATGCAAAACATCAAAGCAATACCACCTAGAGAACACAACAACCGAGTCCAACTTGATAAAATCCTTGAGACGTGCAAATTTGTCTTCGTCCGAGTAGATGCGGTTAAAAAACCATTGAAACAACCATACGAAGGCCCATATAAAGTAATTAAACACACACAAAAATACTTCATCATCAACAGAGATGGCAACAAGCAGACTATTTCTATAGACAGAATAAAATCTGCTTTCTATGAAGCCACTCATGTAAAAGAAGACAACGCTGTTGACAAGCAACATCTCCCACCAGTGACTGAAAATGCAGTGGATGATAAAAAACTTAATTCTAAGCTTTCTTGTTTAACACGCTCCGGTAGACTTGTAAACAAACCCAAGCGTTATGTCCATTTCGTCGATTAAAAAAACAAAGCAAACACCTACCGATGTCCCACACTACTAATTTCACCCAAAAAATTTCCTTTTCACAGTTTACATAATCACATTTTTCCACAATTATTCGTTCCGTCACATTTATTTTTTTCATACAAAATCTTTTTGTTACTATAATAAACGAGTAAACTCTATTCTACGTTGGATTATATCACTAGAGAGTTCGTCAACCCGCTCAGAATCACCAAGCATTTATAGTTGTGGATTTACAATACCGGACCCAATCAGAACACGCAACATTTGGTCAATTTAAGTAACGTCCCAAATTTTTATTGTATTTGTAACAATTAACTGGTATATATTAATATTACTATTGATCTTTAGTAACTCAGTTGATACTTTTCGTGTTCATATCTGTCTGGTCCACATTATTTATGGGCCACTAAAATGATGAGCTCTTCAATGAATATCTTCGATCTAAATGATGACAAAATCAAAATACGGGCCTCCACAAAAATGGTGAGCCTCACGTGATCAGAAGTTGGTGGACCAGAGAGATATGAACGCGAAAATTATCAACTGAGTTACTAAAGATCAATAGTAATATTAATATATACCAGTTAATTGTTACAAATACAATAAAAATTTGGGACGTTGCTTAAATTGACCAAATGTTGCGTGTTCTGATTGGGTCCGGTATTGTAAATCCACAATTATAAATGCTTGGTGATTCTGAGCGGGTTGACGAACTCTCTAGTGATATAATCCAACGTAGAATGTGATATATTCGAATCACAGTCTTTAAATAATGATAGTATTTGATTTAGACTTCAGTTAACTCAATCACAAACGAAGATAGAACGAGGAGTGTGTGAGTAGTAGTGTATTTGCTAGCCAGCAAGAGTATGTCACGCTTTGTCAATATCATAACGAAATGTATGTTCAAGGTCATATACTAAAACAACAGTTACAGTCATTTGATGCTAAATATACATACAGTGTAAGCTTGACAAAATAAACACAAATAACATTGAAAAATATATACAAAATAAGTTCGTCTGTCCTATCTCCACAGACTGACTAAACTTAATATATTTTCCTTGTTATATAGTGACTGCATCACTTAATCATAAATTTACATATGATACGGCCCCATTTATTGTCCTCCGAAGCATATAATTTACGATGACACAAACTAGGTTTGCAAGCACACGACAAATTAATCGTCAGTTGAACACCGAGTCGTCAAAGACTAGAACTCGTTACCTCAACTTGTGATCACAGCCCCATCTGTCGATCGACAGAATCGTCGACGTTTCTGAAAAAACTCAAATCGACTGTGACCGCTGTTGCCAAGACACGTTTGCAATCGTTGATACAGGGTTTGTTCCGTTCTGTATGTATATTTCTCTATGATGGAAGTCACAATTCATCACGATAACGACTTGTGTAGTGTAGTGTAGTGTAGCGCATCCAGTCATGATGGAAGATAGGTTGCAACATAACAAAAGTCATTTTTCTAATGAATTATATGATAGAAATCGTTATAAAATATCTACAACTGATTTAGCAAAAAGACGGAAAAGTAACTGTAGTTACTTACTATGGTACCCTCGAAAGACTTGTCAACGTTGAGTTTACCATCAGCCGGAAAAATACCACTTGTCTGTAGCGGCAAATAAATCTCAGAATACATAGCTCTGTAAGTCTACGGTATTTGATGCTGTCTGCAACAGTTTTAATTGACTCATGTAATATGTCACACTTAGTATGTTTACTCGCGGTGTCTCAGTTTTACGAAGCTCCAAATAACGTTGTTCTTAGATGTGGAGATCTAACCGACCGACTAAGGTAAGACTAACTCTTTAGCGATATCGATCTACAGCATACATCAGCGACAGACATGTTACGAAGAGAGGACCTTGGTCAATGGACTGAAGATGGCACAGGTATTCAGTGTTGACAACGCTTTTACCAGTAACACCTAATACAACTCGTGCCCACCAGGAGAAACCAAAAGACAGAATCGAAGAGATCAGAAGTTGTATTTGACGATTGTCAGCATATCGGGATTGTCTGATCTAGTCTGGCTAGCGATTGCAATAGATGTTGAGCACGGCGTTGCCACACGTGATCCGGTGCGGGTGCATGACCGAGCACCTTCAGCTAGGTGAGTCCATTAAAACATGTGGTCAGCATCCAATATCGAAAACTTACAGAGCTATTTACTTTGTGGATTTATTCACCGCTACGGGACCTTTTACGACGTTTCAAGAAAATTCCTAGCCGGCACGTGTTAACGGCAACCGTAGCCGGCTAACGTAGACGTCTATTATACATCACCGATGTGATTACGAATGTTCGCTTCCTCGTCGACACTGGCTCAGAAGTTATCGTTCTCCCAGCAAATTCTAGCGGCTGACTGTATGAAACAATTTTTAACTTACGGCGGCAAATAGGGAACCGATCGCCACATATGCTAAGGTATATGTTTATCTTAGCGTTGGTTTACGCAAACACACTCACTGAATCTTCATTATTATACCTGTTTCAGTGACAGTAATTGATATAGACCTGCTAAAACATCATAATATACTCATCGACACGTGCAAACGGAGGTTAGTTGATAGAAACAATAATTTATCTGTTTGTGCAACTTCTTTTTGCACCTCTAGATTATCACTAGCCAGAGTAAGGCACACGATCGATCCATACTACTAACAAATACTGATGTATACCAAACGCGACTGAAATTGCCAACAAACCAGCAATGCTACGCTTCACATCACGGCTTCAGGACGGTGAAGAAAAAACGTCAGAGCCTTTCGATTTTGCCCGCCGTTTCGTTTCAACGACCTTGAACAGCCTGTCAGGAGGTGATCATTCCGTATTTCAATTGCCGTGGGTTTGTTGGGTTGCATGAGTATTGAGTTTTTCATACTTAAGTCATCTTTTGCTGCATTAAAAATAACAAAATAACTGCCAAAGGCAATAATTTAATATCCTCTGTTTTGTAGTGTACACGTTGGCTCCGTTGTCGCTTCGTAACTTGATCTGTGATCCCAACTGCTGTAGTAAACCTCAACGAAATTTCTAGTCACCGGCAAGTCTTAAATGTTTTTAGTTCTTCCTTCAGTTATTATTGTTTCAAGGAATAACGTTTTTACAATTAATGATTGATTTTTGTAGTGATTCATGTTCAAGTGACATTTCAGTCAACTTAATCTAAGCTCTTCAACGTATTATACTGAAAAAGTGTTTTGCAAACTAGGATGACTTTGATAGCGCGCTAGAAAAGTTCCAAAACGTATGCAAGGATAATTTTATCCCTTCTCAGACTACCCATACTCATTATATTCACACACATGGATGTCAGATTCAAATACCTTTTCGTGACATTTCACTGCACGTTCGGTCATTAGCGTAAATCAGAAATTTTGACAATGAATCAAAAACCTTGAGAACCTTAACTAATATGTGACGTTCAAGGCCTAAGTTTCTTAACTGCCAATTGAAGTGCCGCGTAAGATTGGAAGCGAAAGGGTTTGTCATGAAATCATACAAGATGATGCACAATCATCCCTGTAGTAGTTCGTGGACGGTTTTTGACCTATGGACCAGAAGAATGTCGTCCGAAGAAAGAGAAAAATTGAAGCCAGTCATATTGCAGTCTCAGTCAACAGGTAAATTAGCAGAAATGATCAAAAATAGGACTGTTAAGGTCACCGCTGCCAATGTGAAGACTATGAAAGCTAAACACAGGTAAGTGTATAAAAGTATATTTCAAGTTGCATGACTCGAAAGCAGGTGGTGGATATGTTGCGACAGAATGGTGAAGTGAGAGAATATTATGAAAACAGATATGTGACAGATATCTGCTCCAGCACTCATGAGCAGATATAGTTGTACAATAAATATACAGAAGTTGCTGTAAGGTGCTGTACGTATGATGCTCTAAGGCGCGTACTTCCGTTATTCAACATGATAACTCCATTTGCACGAACACAACTGAGAAATATGATGAACGTTTCGCGATTGAAGTTGAAACAAACGTCAACAATTATTTTTTAGGAATTATCGATAAAACTTTTGAACATGTTTTTCCGAATCAGCATTATTGATGATTTAATAAACTTGTGTATAATTTTTATTTTCCTCTTCATACTTTCATAGGGAGGTATACCAGTAATGTTAACGAGTAACTGTCTGTGAAAATTAAGAACTTGTACTACTGCATCAGAACGTAGAGTTATGTCATTGTTAATTGTGACAAAACAACCAGTCACTTTGCACAGTGACGTGACTTCCACGTAAGATCTTACAGATCAGGCGACCGCGTGATATTTTTACCGCTGTTGGATTAGGTCTATTATCAAATTACTATTAGTTCAGAACTAGACAATAATTTTATGCAGATAATTCTCTTTATGATTTTAAATAAAGCCAGAACAAATATCGATGCAGAATAATATGACTTCATTATATTCTGTGGTTTCTCATAAACTGCTTACAAGCAAATATGTATTAGAATTCAACATTGAGGTAAGAAATATTATGAAGCAATTGATATGAGAGGATGTAAAGAATTGGAATGACCTAGGTTATCAATGGTAACCTATATATATATATATATATATATATATATATATATATATATATATATATATATATATATATATATATATATATATATATATACAAGAACAGGTCAAAGGTTATTTGGTGTCAGAATCAAGGGAACATTAAGCATGGGCGTAATAGTCGAGTGGAACGCAGACATAGATAAAATACATTGTGTGATAATGTTAGAGGTAATGAAGGATTCATAGAACTAAAAACTAATAAGATAATTGAATAGAATTTGAAGATTTCACATAATTTAAGAGGATCAAGTGAGCAAAAAAGTGTGAGTGAGAGGGTTGTTTAAGAATTCGGTAATGGAAGAGGAATATAACACAATTTTTTCCAAACAATACGAAACCTATCTTATCAGTTTTTAATTCTATGAATCCTTCATGAACTTGTAAACTGGTTTTCCACATGATCTTCCAAAATCGTAAATCCCATAAGCTTCGTACAATTCTGAAAAACAACAAATCAGTCTTGAGACACACAATTAAACTCCGTTATTAGTATCAAATTCAATAATTCAATCAAATAGCAGGTAACAGAATGTAACTATAAGTGTCTTACTTATAAACAGTGCTATTCGATAGAGATTTCAGATTCCTATAATAAAGATTCGTTGGTAATCTTTATCACAGACGCACAGTCCCTTGCTTCAACCTACATTTTACAAACAGCTGTGAACATCCAAGTTCAACACCACCATAATTAGGGAGGTGAATGAAATGCAAATGCTTTCACCGCTCATTTTCGCATATAAATCCGATATGGGCAAATAGATGAATAGCGTGACCACAACTCATAAGCAATTAGAAAAGAACGCAAATGTCCACTCGTCAGGATAGCCACAAGTAACATATACCTATGTAGTGCGTGCTTGCTTTTAGTAAGAATCGACCATCTATTTGATATTTTGTCTTCCAGATTAAACGTCGTTTAACTCCACAAATGGTTTTATACAACATTTCGTGACTTCACCAATGTTTGTCTCATTGCTGAGTTCCGTGGCAACAAAGGAGATATGAGTGCTGAAAATTCGTGATTTAGCTTCGATTGCTCGTTCACTTTTCGCCACATATTTGGCTTTAATTAATTTGGACCTATGCCGAGTCAGTCTGTAATGCAGTGAAAATTCGAAAATTAAATCGGTAATACTTAAGGCGGTAGTACTCCACATTCTCTTCACTAAGATTTGGGATGAGGAACAAGTACCAACAGACTAGAAAGAAGGATTCTCAGACACAACATAGCATGCAACAATCCAATCACAATTGACGGAGAAGATTCGGAAGATGTGAAAACCTTTACATATTTGGGCAGCATCATTGATGAACGTGGTGGATGTGATGCAGATGTGAAGGCGCGCATCGATAAAGCAAGAGCAGTATATTTACAATTGAAGAACATCTGGAACTCAAAACAACAACCAACATTAAGGTCAGGATTTTCAATACAAGTGTCAAGACAGTTCTACTGTATGGGGCAGAAACCTGGAGAACTACGAAAGCCATCATCCAGAAGATGCAAGTGTTTGCAAACAGCTGTTCACGCGAAATACTTCGGATCAGACAATATCAGCAACAACCTACTGTGGGAGAGGACAAAACAGATTCCAGAGGAGGGAGAAATCAGGAAGATGAGCTGGAAACGGATGGGACACACATTGAGGAAAGCGCTTAACTGAGTCTCAAGGCGAGCTCTCAGTTGGAATGCTCAAGGCCAAAGGAAAAGAGGACGACCAAAGAACACATTACACCGGGAAATGGAAATAGACATGAGAAAAATGAACAAGAATTAGATGGAACCAGAAAAGAAGGCCCAGGATAGATTGGGTTGGAGAATGTTGCTCGGCGGCCTATGCTCCATTCGAAGTAACAGGCATAAGTAAGTAAGTTAGTAAGTAACTTGTTATTTGATCTGAGTTTTTCTAGGATCAAGCCCTGTGAGCTTCAAATCCCCATCATATAACTACGAACGCCTTGCAGTGTTATTAGTTTACTTTATATCTTGTTTATGATGCTAATCTGTCAGCTTAATTGCTTCAACCTACATTTTATAAACAACTACCAACATCCATGTTCATCATCACCATAACCAATGACGTGAACCAAATGTAAAAGGTTTTAAAGCTTATTTTCCCTAAAACTCTTTTTGTGACCTATTTTTGACTTGCTTGAGTTTGTATTGTTACAAACAACCACATTAGGCTGACTAAACATTCACCCAGGTTATGAGCAACAAATATGTCAAACTACTAATAATCTGGTATAAATGTCATGTAACAAGCTCAATTTCGTGCATGTATATGTTGATGACTGCTTGACTGTATGTCCGGACAGAATATCTCATCTCCCGAAATCTGAACCTTGTTTTTGAACGATTGCAGAAACATGGCTTTGCCGTAAACATTCAAAAATGTGAAATCGTTTCCGACTCTCTAGCTTTTTTCGGATATATCATTGATTCTCAAGTCATTCGTCCTCTTCGAAGCATAGTAGAGACCATTCTCGATAACCTGGAACCGACCACAATCAAGCACCTACGCACATGTAACGGTGTAGTAAGTTTATGTAGACGGGTCATACCAAATTGCGCGTCCCCTGAGAAACCTCTAGCCGACCCACTTCGTGGAAATGAGAAATCCACCATTTTGGGCGATGATGTGATAAAGCATTCTCCACAGTTAAAGAACTTATCACCAAAGCAGCCATGCTTGCACACCAGAACACTGAATCACCCAGTAGTATGGCAGTAGACGCGTCCGACTCAGCAATCAAATGGGCCTTACAACAGTGAGTAAGCCACCCCCAGAAACCCTTGATATTCTTTTGTAGATGGTTGACAGACACTGAATCGTGGTATAGCATTTTCGGCAGGGAACACCTAGCCATATATTTTGCTGTACGATGCTCAGCACTCCGTGGAAGGCCAAAAATTCACTTTTTCACCGATCACAAATTTCTAACCTCTTTAAAATCATCTTCAGACAAGTACATTTCTCAAGAGTTTCGACAACTGGGCTACATTTCGCAGTTTATTCCAAATATACAAACACAGGTCTGGGGCAAACAATATAGTTGTAGTTACTTTGTCTCATATAACCACTATGAAAAGTTTCCGAGGGATGGATCCTTCTGGACTCGTCAATCTTCAAAAGAAATATACTGGTTTTCAGCACGAGTTATCCTCGACAACCGTAGAACTGTGTATCAAGCAGACGTAGTCAGTAAAGGAACGTTTACTGCGTAACACATCTGCAAGTAGGAATTGTCCAATCGTAACCAAACCTTATCGACGTAACGTCTTCAATACGTCCCACAAACCTCTTCCAGGTGTTCGTGCAGCCATCAAGCCCATAAAAGAACACTTTTGCTGGCCTGGTGTGAGTAAAGGCGTGAGGGAGTGGTCACGCTCCTATGTAAGCTGTCAGAAATGTAAGGTGATTAGACACAACAAATGAGCCGTACGCTCATTAAAAACTGCCGACGCCCGTCTAGACCATGTTTATTTGGATTTAATAGAATCTTTACCATATTCAAATGGACAAACCTATATATTGTATAGACCGTTTTACTCAATGGTCAGAGGCAGTATACATGAAGGACATTACTGCTGTAATAATGACCTTCGCATTCATAGAACGGAGGGCAGCAAACCTTGGCTGCTCTTCAGCTATCACTGCAGATCCTGGACACCAAATTGAATCTAGACTCTTCCTTTGTCTTACTACACTATTATGAGTCACATGATTCTGAATGGCCGCCTACTATCCTCAAGTAAACTGGTTGCTGGAACGCTTCCACAGACAACTTAAAGCTTCACTCCCAGCTGCAAATGTTTCACAGTGGACCGACGCCCCCCTACTTGTCTTACTAGGTGTTCGCAATGCAGTGAAAGGTGACATTGGATACACCGCAGCTTAATGCCTTTGCGGAATGACACTCCGACTTCCGGGAGAATTCGTGGATCCTTCGTCTTCTTCAGTGAATATCGATCTAAACTCCTACATGAGCAGGCCAACGAACACGATGCGTCCAGTTAAAACTATTTACACTCGACCACTGCCGACTGATGTTTTCGTTCAACTTACCTTATGACGTAGTACACATATGTTCATACGTCGTGGCTTATTACGATGACCTCTCGAAATAGCATACGGAGGAGTCTTCAAACTTCTTCAGAAAGCACCTAGGTACTATATAATTGCTAAGAACGGAACCGACGATAGCATCAGAGTCGACTGTTTCAGTGCCGCGTATCCTAAGGGAAACCCTATTTACGTTGACTTCCCATCGGTACAATTGAAGGACACGAGTTTCACAATTACGATACCTCATCCGATAATCAACAATCATGACAAAACTCCGGTGGTATCTGATAACCGACTTAAAACAATGCGTTCTGGAAAAATAAGGTTTTCGGAACACATAAACGAATACCGCACCTCAGACATATAACACTTTCTTTCCTTTCAATTCTTTTTGTATTATGCCAAAAGAACACAACAAACTGTTTTTAATATCCTCATACACATATATATATTTATATTTATTCCAAAAAAACCTATTT